GAGAAGCCTCTCTATGAAGGCAGGGTACACTCCTCCTCCTCCTCCTCCTCCTCCTCCTCCTCCTCTTCCTCCCTGCTCCCCTGCGTCCTCGGGGTCTCTTGCTCTCACCTCACAGTGAGCGCTCACCAGTAAGCCCAGCACCAGCACCAGTTCTCCCACTGCAGTCATGTCGGCTCCACATCAGCGAATGCAGGGGAGCACCACCAGCAGCTGCATTTAAACAGGAGGAAGAGGGGGGGGGATAGGGGAGGCCACTCCTCCTGCTTCCTCTGCCACCCCCTCTCTCTCTACAGACTTCTTCTCTGACTACTTTGTATTTGTAATAACACAACCCCAAAGTGTGACTTTTGATCCATACCCTGTGTAATGAAACTTCCCAAGTGTATTACCCACATTTGATATGACAAGTGTTGAACAGTTAGGTTTAAAATGCAAATGAAGACCTTCTCTTGTTGAATATGTGCTAATTTACATAACAGAACAGAAATGTGAAAATTGGATAAAGCCAGGTTAAACATTCTTGTTTCATTTTCATTTAGTCAAAGGTTTTTTCCCAAAGGGCAAACAGGAAGAGATATTTTCAGAGATAGCCAGATAGTGTTAATCTAGTCTGAAAGAGCACTTTATTATACTTCTGCTGGGGCGAGTGAAAACTGTATCAGCCAAAGTGTGACTTTTGATCCATACCCTGTGAAATGAAACTTCCCAAGTTTATTACCCACATTAAAAAAGCCAGGTTAAAAATTCTTGTTTCATTTTCATTTAGTCAAAGGTTTTTATAAAGAAGGTTCTCTTTGCATCACTCCACAAATCAAAAGATATGTCAAAAGCCATACACACATAAATGTCCTCCATCTTGCTCCATAAAGGGTGTAAAAACCTGTCACTTATTAAAGTACAAAAGTATTAGCAGAGATATATTATTGAAGTAGCAAAAGGAAAAGTACTCTATCATATTGTTATATAATTAATATGTTCATCACTTTAATGTTTTTGTGTCTATCTCCAGGCATGATGTTTTCTCTTGGTGTTCCGTGGCTTACTTACAGCTTTCAGCGTAGCTTGTAGCGTAGCTTGTGCAGACTAGCTTGCGGCTAGCGTAGCTTGTAACTGTTGCTTGCTTGTTGTTGCTTACTTTAATGTTGCGTCTGGAAAAGAAGGATATTATTGTAATTACATTATTTATACTACTGGTTAGATTTGATCTGTAAGAACGCATCATTTAGTCGTTGATTTACATTGTGTATTATTCATCTGAATAAAAAAAAAACGATATTAGTAAAATATTTGAGTACAAATGAGGTGACACAGGTTTCACTTCTCTCGCCGTCTGTCTTCATCCTGTTTCTGTGGAAGTGATAAGAACAGAGGACATCCAGGAGGTGTGTGTGTGTGTGTGTGTGTGTGTGTGTGTGTGTGTGTGTGTGTGTGTGTGTGTGTGTGTTACCAAATGTTGTTCATAATTTTAGATATTGAACAATGACGAGTTCAGAGTTCATAGATACCAATGCGTTTTGATTAAGGGAACTTGGGACTTGGGAGGCTGTGGCGCAGTGGGCTAGTGCGTTGGTGTTCGGATCAGCGGGTCACAGGTTCAAACCCCACTGCAGTCAGCATGTCGTTGTGTCCCTGAGACACTTCACCCCAAATGGCTCCTGTGGGGATTGCCCACAGCATTGAGTATGTAAGTCGCTTTGGATAAAAACGTCTAACATGTAACTTGGGATCTTATAATAATTTTGCATCTTAATCATAACATTTTGTTTTTGGCTCCATGGCTCACCATTGGGTGTCAGTTCTTGCCAAGTTTGGACACCCCTGTACGAGCTTATTCTTAATGAACTTGCCAAGTTAATTTGTTTCAAAACAGTTGTTCGAAACTGGATTACCTTTAGGGCTTGGAGTTCATTAATTCTTGACAATTTAATGACAAACACAAATAATCAGGGACATTTTTATTCCAAAGGTCGGAAGACAGTCAAACTCACATCCATTCATCTGTACACCTGTCACTTCCATATTTATACATGATCTAATTATACAGTATTTTATTTTTTTATTTTACTTTAGAGTATTTCATTTCACATTCTGTCTATGTTGTTCTATTTCATATATTTTCTTATTCCTACAACTTGTTTGCTCCATTAGGGTCTTTTGTTTTATGTCTGCTTTATTTTTTTGTTAGATATATTGTATGCTGCTAGTGATGTTACGTTCACGAACGATCCGACTATTTTGAACGGCTCTTTGGTACGAACGAAGGGAACCGAGTCGTACTTGGTGAGAGCCGTTCTTCTGTGGTACATGGTAGACGATGTGTTTTTCGGGTGTAAAAATTAGCCTAACGCGAAAACGCAGCAGCATTTGGATGCACTTCAACAAACACATAGGCAATGATAAAGCGGAGTGCAACATTGGTAAAGCCAAAATATCATTTAAAGCAGGGTCAACAAATAATTTCCACCACCACTTAAAAAAACCCGGCTCTTTTGAAAGGCTCTCGGAAAGGACCGGAGCCATAAGATCCGGCTCCCTTCAAAGGGCCGTAATTCCCATCACTACATGTTGCCTTGTTGGATGAGTTTTGGACTGCTTTGCCAAAGACACACTGCATCTATTGTACATGTAACAATAAAGTCTTTGAATGTTAAATAAATGTGGAAACACGCCTGAAGCTTATACAGGTGTCTCAGTCCTGGCGAGATGTCTCACTCGGACATTTCTATTCCATCCCTCGTTGTTTTCATTTGAATAATCACAACATTCAAGGCGATTAAAGTAACTTTAAGTGAGCTGAAGGAGAGCGTAGCGACGAGGGAGGCTGGCAGTTCCTGTTCAGGCTGAGAGAGCCGAGACTTTTCCACAGGGAGAGGGGGGGTTGGGTGGTGGTCATTTCCGAGGATTGTTTTAAAGCTATGAGGAGGTGGCGGAGGAGGGGGAGGTAGAAATGTGTGAAAGAGAAAGAGAGAGTGTAGAAAGACAGAAATGTCAAAGACACTACTGGAAATGAGTCAGCTTTCAAGCACTTTTGATTTCCTTGTCTTGATTCGATGTGTCTTTTTTAATGGGATTCTGGTTACAAAATGTGGCACAAGCTGAAAAACAAGCTTTTACCTGTCATAAAATGTTTCTCTCAATGAGAATACCTTACGTCATCACACAAACCTTAGCCACCTTTAGCTTAGCAGCAGTGAGGTGCTGTCATGTGACCGTGATGCAGTTATTTTATATCCTAACGTAAGCTTTTGTACTCAATCTAAATCATAAAAGCTGTTCATTTGTAGAGATTATGTTGCTGAAGAATACATAAAAGTTTCATAAATGTTTTGTGAATGATATGTGATTTGCAGACAGACAGACTTTCACTGAAAAATATTTCATCACTTAATAGTCTTTATTTTTTATAGTGTCTTTTACATGTTTGCTGTATTGGTGTATAAAAACAGAGACGTAATTTTCATCAACATTGATCTCTTATAACGTAATAATATGATGAGTTGTGTTTTTAATAAAAAAACGGAATCACATTTATCAATTTCTTCATGTGATTGACAACATGTTAACATCTAACAAGGTTCTTTAGTTATCAAACTAACATAGCTACAGAGTAATGTCGATGAAAGTCTTAGGTCACAGGCTTCTCAAACAGTGCAACACAATAATACAGAAAAACAGAAAAATATAGTGCAAGTAAATATTAAAAAGTAAATACAAAAAGAAAAATATTTAAAAAAAGTGAAGTAGTGGAATAACTATACTGCTATATAAAGGTGTGTCACAGTTAAACATATTAGTTAACTTCAGACACACAAACGGACCATCTTCTTACGATCACCTGACATGTATACACATCAGACTAAAGACACTCACTGTATAAATGATCCGAGTCTGCCCATGGCAAGCAAAGAGGGCCAAAACAAAGGAAGCAGCGACCCCACAAAAAGAGAGAGACGTTAGAGAAGATTCTCAAAGGACCTGGGCACACCATACAGCTGTCTAAAATAATACTAAAGATATCATGACTATATTTACTGTGTTGTCTCTTATGTCTCCATTCGGCAACCTTGAAACCTCTATCAATAAAATGCATTATTATTATTCATTAGCTACTGTGTAAAGGTAGAAATACAGCTCTAATCTAAATTTTACATTACAGAAGAACTCTATAAGGACTGTAAATCGATTACTTTGAATCATCAATGCACAATTCAGGAATCCAATGAATTAAAGGGTGGTGGAGCAGGGTTAGGGTTAGGGTTAGGGTTGCTTCGTTATTAACAGCAGCTGGACGTTACAACTCCTGCTAGCTCCTGCTCGCCCAACCTGGAATAACTGATGATCAAATGTCACCTCTTCTATCTACCCCGGTAATTTACCCTGGTGATCATTAAGGCTGCTGGTATTCCATCAACAACCCATGGCCCAAACTACAGGAGTTTTAAGCAAATAGGCTTATCATGGTTTGATAGCAATACCTTACCCTAGTCCAACTAAAAGGGACTGATAATTCCTTGATACGAATGGCTACATGGCAATTTCCCAACCCCCATTTTGGGAAATTAGATGTGGCTGGCATTTTCCTCATTACAAAATATAAACAAACATGAGGCCTAGTTGACTGAAAGAAGACTGAAGTAGACTTGGACTTGTACACTCTAATGTTTTTATAAGGTTCATCAGCAAACAGGTGGATGACTGAAGAACTTCATCAAGAAACAGTGGATGGATCAAACCTACTGTGACTCACTAAAGTGACACATTGACTCAGGAATGGCTACTAGGATCATGGAGTTCAGGAGAGCGTCTTTCAAAAAGTCCACTTTTATGCCGGAATCACAACCATCAGAGGAAATTGTGATGAGCGCTTTAACCCTTGCTTTAATCTGCTCCTCCATTCCCACCAAGGATACTCTTCAGTTTTTGTAGCGATCAAGTGGTGACACCAGAACTGATTCCCTGCACACTGCCCTTACCCATCTGGACAAGCTATCATGAAGCCGCTAAAGATAAACTACTTCACTAAGGCCCTCTCTTTCCTGCGAAAAGACACTGCATGGTCTCCTGATTTTCTCTCCATCCTGCAGAGAACAGAGAGACACCGAGGAACCAGACCAAACTGTGAACCCAGGATAAAGAGGTTCAGTGAATGTGGTTCTGAAGGTGTGAATGTGGGTCAGGGTATCAGAGGAGATGCTGTAGAAGGACAGCGAGCCAGCAGGATAATCCAAATACACTGCCAATCTGTCAGAGATCAATGAGGGTGAGGAGGAGGGTTGGGATGAGGTGGGGCAAGAGTAAACAGCGCTTGGGAAGGAGTAGTAGAAAGGAGAGGAGGAGAGCATTTCAGTCTTATTGTGACAGACGGAGTAAGGACGACCGTCAAAGCAGTCCAGACACCAGGATCGATCATTCTCCCCAAACCTGCAGTTTTCCCTGTCTCCTCTCCTGCTGATTCCTCTGTAACTCAGAGATAAATAAACCCCTAATGTCCAATCGACCTCCCAGTAACAGCGACCAGTCAGAGCATTTTCACACATCAGCTGAGGCCAGAAATCAAATCTGTCTGGATGATCAGGATATGGCTCCTCCTCTTTTACATGTATCACCTTCCTGTTGCTCTCACACAGTTTGAGGTTTCTGTTTAATGTGTTTGTGTCGATTGTGAGGTCACAGGAATCTGAAGAGAGAAACAACACCAAAAAAAAGCAGCAGCAGTTATTAACCTCATTTTGTAGATGGTTGCTGTTTTCTTTTGATAAATAAAACTAAAACAAACTTACACTTTCTCAGACCTTGTCTCAACCATCGGACTCCACCAGGCTCGACCCTAAAAGGATGAGGAGGAGGGTACATATCAGGGCTCAACGCTAACTTTTTAAAGTGATTGCCAGGCTTGCAACCAGGCATCAGCTTTTGGTTGCCAAAACTGAAAATATGGTTGCCATTTTTAGTCACTTTATATTTTAAATAATTAAGATACTATACAGTTATACATCAACTTAATAATGAAAATGTGACACAAAAGAATGTTCAAATGCTTTACAATAAGTAATTAACACAATTATTTGAAACTAAAGTGGTAGTAAACGTGTCCACCCTCAATTGCTGGTATACAAAATACCAGTAGTGCAGCTGTTGTCATGTTCTTCACAGACCCCTCACAAATGAATTGAGAAAGTCACTAGTTTCTTGGTCATCCGTTGTCTCCCTTTCAAATGTGGGTTTTCTTGACCTTTGTGCTGACCCCCACCATAGATCCATTGGCCCTTCAGCATTGAAGTCTTGGATTGGCCAGACTAATACATTTCTAATGTTAAATAAATGAAAACCATTCACAGTTAAGAATTAGATATTAATTATTAATGTTGTTAATTACCTTTAATATGTCTAACTATATTTAATATGTGTTTACTTTTTATAGAAGTGATTATATTTGTATGCCAATATTTTCCTATGGTAAAGTTTTGTTTTGCACTTTTATTTTGGTAGTAATAAGATCGGGACTCTTATTTTGAAGGAACTTTTACCGGAAGTGAATGCACAACGGAGCAGAATGTACATATATATTTCGCCTCCCAAGACTTTACACATTTCCTCTTTGCTTTTCGTTCGGGTTCAACTTGCGCTTTATCAGTTGAATCACTTTGAACATTCGTTTGAGATGT